TTTGAAATTTTTGAATAATTTTTGGTGTGTTATGTGTAAGAATAGCTGTTTGATTTTTTTTTGTTAAAAGGAAAAGAACGAAAAAGCACTTGTTAAAGGGTCTTGAGAAATGATTTTACTTGAATTCCAACTTAAGAGCATATAAGGAAACAATTTTGTGTGTCTTATGTAGTAGTGTTGCGAATTCCTTCGTTTTTGCCAATAAATATCTATATTGAATGCATTAAAATTCTTTTAAATTATAAATAAAACTTTAATTTTTTTGCTAAGATTTTTTTTTTAGTGTAATTGGGAGATTTTACACTCAGAATCTCTCACGTACATTTTCTTCCCCTCCCCCCTCTTACACTAAAAAAATGTTAAGATGCTTGAAAGCAATGGGGAAAGTTCCTTGACAGTTAAGTAGTGGAGGGAGTGGAACTAGGGTATGGCAGGAAAGGTCTCGCCCCTTTGCCCCAAGTTTTGAAAAATTAAGTTTTCTTTCTTGAAAAGTTGAAAAATTAAAATTTTTTGATAAATTTAAACTCTTGGTCCTGCAAAAATGACGAATATTTCAACTTATATAGTAAATTTTAATTAAATTAGAGTTCATCCTTTCAAAATAAATTTTCTAGTTTTGCCTATGGTAACCGGGCATGGTGTGAATAATGCCACCGACCCTAATTAAAGCAAGCAGTAGCTTCTATAGTTCAAGTCCTGACAAAAATGAGTGCTGTAGGACCCAGTTCGGTACTTATAGCTTATAGGAAGGGAAACCACTTCTAGTACACTACTTGTGGTCCTGCATAGGACTGCAAACGAATCGAGCCGCTCGCGCTCGAGTCAAGCTCGAGTCGAGCTCCATATTAATCGAGTACGAGTCGAGCTCCAACCAGCTCGAGTCGAGCTCGAGTTCGAACTCGAGCTCAGAATATTAAACTCGTTAGCTCGCGAGCCTCGCGAGCTTGAGTATATATATATATATATTTTTTATTTTTATTTAATAATAAAATTACGTATATTATATTTATTTTTTATTTTTTATTTTCATAGTGAAATTACGTATATATCCTTAATATTTTATTATTTATTCAGAAAAAAATACATTTTATTAATTTTTTTTAAAATAAAATATTTTTTTTTATTTTTTTCGAACTCGAGCTCGACTCGAATAGCTCGACTTGATTCGAGTCGAGCCCGATCTCGAAAATTGCCAGCTCGTCGAGTTCGATCTCGAGTTCGAGGTTGGTAAAATTTAGTCGAGACTCGGTTCGATTAGTTCAAATCTCGACTCGACTCGACTCGTTTGCGGCCCTAGTCCTGCATGGTTTTTCTCCTTTTAGCGCGCTAGTATGATATTGGATCCGCTTGAGTGCTTGGAGATTAATCTATCAATCACCGTGGAGGGCAGTGTCTTTCTAACTAGCCCAGATTTCTTGGTTGGACATGTTCCATGGAACCAATCTGTTGGCACGTAGGCAAAGCCGAACAGCGCATTATTGAGCCTGTTTGGATTGCAAGTTTTTGAAGCTTTTATTGAAAGGTATATTATCACAATGTGATTTATATGAAATAAAAAAATAATATAAAATATGTTGAGAGTATTTTTCTGTGAAAATTCACCATCCATGCAAGGTTTAAAACGAGTAAAATCTAATTGTCAATTGGATTGATTTTTGGAATTCGATTGTATTTTTTGTTTAACAATACATATTTGAATGTCATTTTGTGGCTTCAATGTCTTAACTAAATTATGGTTGCCTAGTTTAACCTAATTTGAAGAATTGTTAACACTTTATTAGGTTCTTGTACTATTTGTGGCTTATTAATGGTTCTAATATTATATTTTAGGATAAAAAATGCATTCGTTATGAGCAAACTATTTCAAATAAAATTTCACTTTAACTGTGTATTAATTTTTTGTGTCAAATTCACCCCTTAAGTTTCTAAATATGCATCACATTGGCTTGAAATATTCTCATACTTTAAAATGTAAAGTATCCAAAATAAAAATATACAAGTGCAATTTGAGATATAATGACATCATGGAAGATTATAAGTGTATATAGTCCACCTTGAGAAGTAAAATATCTAGTTGAATCAACAAAAGAAAAAATGGAGGAGGAGAAGAAGTAAACTAGTTGACCCAGCCGGCTGAACCAATTACACCAATCAGCCCAGGAATTGGCGAACTCAAACGATTTTCTGACAGAGCTGGTTTTGAAGACATTGCTCTAGGATTAACAACATTTTTAGTATATTCAAGTAACAGTTGAGCTCGTTTGTTGAAAAAGAAAGGAACATTTGAGCTCAACACAAGAGATTGTATTCGAGAACTTTAATCTTAAAAACGTAACTGTCAAGCTTGTTACTTAAACTGCTTGAGAATCTCCCAACAAAAACCCCGAATTGCAAAAGTTTTCAAGTAGAGCCAATTTACTATAAAAAAAAATTCGAAGGAAAATAAAAAATAAATAGACAGCACCCATAAAATTGATGTATCCTACAAAAAAAAAATATTAATATAGCACAAATTATGGGATCACTCCCATTTTCTAGCTACTTTACTTTAGATCAAAAGTTATGTGTAACTCCCTCATAAGATTTGCAATCTGTCTGAAAAAAAATTTTTTTTGTGAAGTTTTGTTGTTTCTAGTTAAAAGAAAATTATTGTGAAGAGAATTTCTCACACACACCTTGATCTTCATTAGTAAGGAAAGGCCTTGAACACTTGTACCCCTAAATTGAGCCTCAAAATGCATAGCCAACACAGTTTAAACACTTAGGACTCGTTTGGCTACTTTTTTTTTGAGTTTTTTAAGAAAAATATACTCTAGTGATTTTCCCCCCATTGTGAAAACAAAACAGATGTTCTATAGTTTGAACTTTAATTTCTGAATATTTGTGCTCTTTATGGTTGCAACACAATCACTTGGAGATGGTAGGAGGTCTACAACAGATTTACAAGTTATTAAGCGAGAACATGGAATCAGATGAGAAGATGGGGACACAGCCTTTCCTCCATGACAGAAAAGGGTAAAACGGAAATCTACTGCAGAAGACCTGAAAACTATTGTAAGAAATCGAAGAAACAAGAGCAAGTGATCATCATAGGAGAATTCTCTAGATTTCTTTGGTCTTTTCCAGATGTGACATGACCTCGTTTGGCTTTAATCAGTCTTAAAGAGCTGATTGAAAACCATTCATAAGTTTGGCCAGCTTCCAATCAAATATCATGTTCGAGTACTTTCGGCGCAAGCGGCAGAACAAGGATCAGTCCATATCACTACAAGAAAATTGCGTTTCTGTGACAGGCGAAAGTCGTCACTAAAAATTCAGAAGTCATCACAAAAAAAGTCAGTGATGACTTTTACTGCTGTCACAGAGCTGTCACTAGTTCTGTGTCACAAAAGGGGGTCCATGTGACGACTGTTGAAAGTCGTCACAAACGATTTCGCTTTTGTGATGACTCATGTCGTCACTCATTGTTGTACATTGTGTGACGACTTTTATTGTCACTAAACTGGCTAAATTCTTGTCATAGTCAACCCTTGGAGTTGTCACATTATGCTTCCGTTCAGTGACGACTTTTGTTGTCATTGTTTTCCATCCATAAAAAGTGACCACTTTCTGGTGTCACTAGTGAAACTTGTTGGCAGTGACAACTTTTTAATTATCATTTATTTTTTTTTTTTGTAAAAAGCAATAATCTAATGTTAATTACGCAACATAGCTGCCAACAATCACAAAACGTTCATTGAGTAGCAAGGAGAAAAAAAAAGCCAACATTCATTTCCAATAGAAGATCAACCCAAATACATATATATATAAATGTTGCCTCAAATGAGTCATAAACCATGCACCATCCAAAATAAGCCATTCAGTTACAATACTAGTGATTTCCCATCCACAATAGAGAGTAGTAAATTTCTATACAAAAATATGAGCACGATTCCCATCTAGAACAAAACATGAGCACGATAGGCCTTGTAGTCTTCAAATCAAAAACCATATTCACAGCAATGACTGGCTTCTTCTTCTTGGGAATCGTGTTAGAACCTACACGTTACCAAAATTGAAGCAATGAGCACTGGTGTTAAAACTAGAACTACACTTCTAGATAGGCACCATATTATAAAAACTAATGTCACTCTAATTTGAAATTATAGCAATCTAAGTAAATTGCTTAACACAAAAATAAAGTGAAATTATAGCAAATAAGACATTGAATGTATATTCTGTGAAATATAGAATAACAATACAAACACAATAAATATCTGCATGTTCACAAATATATATGCAATAACAATAACAATAACAACAATAAAATCCTAAAATCATTCTAGATGATCGTGAACCACACAGTATATCAAGAAAAAAAAACACACACACACACACACAATCACAGGTGCCTCTTTTTCCTTAGCACAAAAAAAAATTCTAATACAGAAAAATTTAGATGAGTTCGACAAAGAAAAAAGTGGAATACATCCCAACGTTCAAACACCTTTGCTTTAAAAACACTAAAGTTTTGGTTGCAACATCCAGCACCTCAATGGCTGTAATTAAACATGAACAAGATTTCAAGCACCTAAATCAACCTCAAGCAACTCAATTGCATTAAATAGGAATCAGATTTGGTGGAACCATATTTCAAGTGCCATCAAGAAACTAAATTGACATCAAGCAACCCAATTGTATTAAAAATGAATCTCTATTTTGTAGAACCAGAATTCAAGTGCCTCAATTGTAATAACTATGAAGAGCAAACAATTTATTTATACCTGACACAGAAGTTGCTTATTTGCGCAAGTCTTTCAGCTGGTTAGCTAACTCATCATACAGGCTTCTTGTTTCTGTTTGTTGCTATTGCAAGGTCTTAATCAACTCTTGCTGAGCAGTGAATTGTTGAGTTACTTCTGCAGCTCGTTTTTCTGCTTCATCTGCTCTTTTTCGGCTGTCCTCAATCTCATGCCTCCAGCGTTCTACCTCAGCAGCTTGCTTCTTGGTTGCACTACGACCGTGGATGTGTCCAGGTATGTAACCAAGTTCTTGCTCGCATATTTCCTTGCTAGTCATTGAAGTTGTAGCCTGCAATTCCCTCATTTTGTCCTAGGCAAGTAAAAAATATGATCATTATGTAGCTGGAATGGATGTCAATAATTTAAAAATCCATTATCCAAGTGAAATAGCTCACCAAGGTCTCTTTTGTTTTGTCATTTACCAGCCCCCCTGACTTCTTTGACTTTCGACTTAACTCAAACATGTCTATCTCTGAAAGCTCGACATCTTCTTTCCTTTTCTGTCCAAATTTTCAATTTTTTCATTTTCAGTCATATGACAAAAAGGATGTACATGTACAAGTGTTGGCTGGGTTTCAGATTACCTTTTCCTCAACAACTCTTGCAAGCGATTTTGTGCCAACAGTAGTGTGGCAGTCATTTTTGGCACGATTTTGCTTGTTACGTTCACTAATTTTCTGCCACAAATTAGTGAAAATTTTAACTGACAAAGATTAGCAAATTTGTGAAGTGAAATCTGAAATTTAATAAAAGGATAGGTTATTTTGACAAGCTAACCTTAAATTCATCATTTTCAAAGTAGCTGACCAGCCACTTCCAATATTCTTCACTCACACCTTCAGGAACTTGCCTCAATGCTTCTTGCCGTGATTCAAAACTCTGGAAATACTTGTGAAGCCGATATCGATGGTTTCGATATTGTGTGTTTAACTACCTATTAATAGCAGTTTTTGAGGTGATGTGCTCTGGAAATCGAAAGTCATCCTACAATAGCAGTGCAATCTGCTTAAAACCAAGCAAATCTAAAGCAGTAAAATCTCTCATACTTTCTGGATGAAATTAGAGTATTAGCAGGTCAACAAATACCGTAACCATGCTGTATATGCCTTCTCGGTCACCAGGATTGAGATGGGACCACTTTGGAACATTAAGCCTAGCAGCCTTCCTAACAACACAACCCCCTTCTGTGATGAAGTATTGAGAATCCTTCCCAACAATCCGCCGAATACAATCATCAATTTCAATGGTGAGCATCTCATTAGCCTCCCTTTTTTTTGATAATGATAGATTTCGTGTACGTCCTCTTCTTCTTGCTGACAGCAGCATAGCTATTAACAAATATCAGTCCATACATTACTTTGACCACATTAACAAAGTCAGTCATGAAATAGAAACTTGGTTTTTAATTTCAGCCGTGAAAATGAAGTCTAACTTACCATTTTCTTGCTCATCCGAAACTGGATTAGTCTCATTTTCTCCGGATGCACGAGACTCAGATGTCTGAGGGTGTATCATCCTACTCTCACTAGCAATTTCTCTAGGTGACATATATTGCATTCTCTGAGGATACACTCTTGGATGCACTTCTTGGTTGATTGCTCCCAACTGAATTAGGTATTGCAGGCTGTTGTGCACCTTGAGCTTTTCTCTGTAGCATTTGGCCTCGCTTTCCTGGTCCAGCCATCTAAAAGTAACAAGAAGTTAGTGTTACAGCATAGTATAATTTAGGAATAAAAACTAGTTAGCCGGAGTTAAAGAGATTAAATTTAGTGTCATGTAGTCCTCATCAATTTCACCTATTCCGAATCGATGTCATTATCACTAAGAATCTCCTCTTCGTCTTCCTCATTGTTAGACTCATGTTCATTCACTTCATCATCATCATTAATGAAGTTTTCAAAGGTGCCATTTGAGCTATTTTTTGACTTCTCAGCATGTACAATGGATGAAGGTACAACCTTCGGTATCTCATTGTCTTCTCTTGAAAGTAATGGTGGATTGTCGAGGTCTATTATAATAGTGAAATCCCCAGTTGCTTCTTCTTGATATATTTCCTCAACCATTGGTTCTTTTTCTAAATCTTCAGGAACATCATACAAGTGCCTTGGACTGAACCTCTCGACGACAAACCAGTTTTTGCCTAGTTTCAAGTCTTCAAGATAAAAGACTTGTTGGACATGTTGAGGGAGGACATATGGTTGGTCTTCATACCATTTTCTGGACGAATTGACACTTGTGATACCCCATTCTTTGTCCACTTGCATCCCAGCACTATCATCGGTCTTCCACCAGTCACACTTGAATACTATAACCTTTTTTTTCCCGAGCCAGTATCTTACTTCAATAATTTGTTGTATCACACCATAAAAATCGATCACATTGTTACCATGCTCACCTCTAACTACAATACCACTGTTTTGAGTGTTTCTTTGCCTTTCCCGGTTTTCCGTGTGAAACTTATACCCATTAACCATACAGCCCGTATACATGCAAACTCGGTTGTCTAGCCCAAATGCTAATGCTCGAAGCTCACCATTGGAAGCCTTGCTGCCATACATAACCTAGTAAGGACAATTTCACCTAAATCAGTAATTTATTGTATTAGAGATAAAAAAAGTAGGCTGCCCAAATGACACTACAAACATACACGCTGTTTAACCCATTTTGCAAATTCTCTATCGTGCCTTTGGTCCACATTTTCAGCACTCTCTGCCTCCAACTCCATTTTATGCGCACTATAGACAAAAACAATCACCTTGTATAAATTTGCCTTTGAACATATCAAAATATAGAACAAAGGTACAACCTTTAATTAACATTAAAAGCTTACTTTATATAGTCCTCAAGCTCATCACAATTGTTCAATATAAATGTATGAATTTTTTCCAGCTCTGAGTCAAGGAAATTGCCCCTTTTGGGCCCTCCAAATGGACGACCAGGGCATGAAAAAATGGACAATTCACCAGTATTATATCCCCTATCATTGTTTCGTTCAGGCTTGTTGAATATCGTATCAATATTGTCTAGGTACATAGAGCAGAATGTCAAGCATTCTTTATCTATGTACCGCTCAGCAATGCATCCCTCTGGCCGGGCCTTATTCCCAACATAACTTTTCAGCACTGCCATATGTCTTTATCAAAGGAAAATAAAAGAAATTAGAAGATTGCAGTGGTCTTTAATTAAAAAAAAAAACTTACAAGGCTATATGTACAACTCTCTACCTCTCAAATGGGAACATCCAACGATATTGAGCTGGACCGCCAAGGATAGCTTCAGCAGGCAAGTGAACCATCAAGTGCATCATTATATCGAAGAAAGCTGGAGGGAACAACCTCTCTAATTTACATAAGATGACTGCAATTTTTTGGGCTAACTCCTCCAGAACCTCTCTATGCAATGTTCTAGCACATAATTTTTTGAAGAATTCACTTAACTCGAATAGCACTTGCCGAACTTCTTTTGTTAAACTTCCACGGATTGCAAGTATGAGTAGCCTTTGTATAAAAATGTGGAAGTCATGACTTTTCATTCTAGAAATTTGAAACTGGCCATTCTTTATACATCGGCAAATGTTTGAGGCAAACCCATCTGGATATTTGATAGAATTCAAGAATACATTTTTTTTCTCCTCCTTGGTTAGGCTGTAACAGGCATGTGGCATGATATAAGAGTCGCCATTTGGAATCAAATGTAGCTCTTTTTTCAAACCCAAATCCTTCAAATCTTGACGACACAACCAGTGGTCTTTGGTTTTGTTTTCAATATCCATAATTGTGGCAATGACAGCCTCTGAGACATTTTTTGACACATGCATTAAATCCAAATTATGCCTAAGAAGGAGGCCTGCCCAATATGGTAACTCAAAGAAACAACTTTTCTTTGTCCAGTTCAAACCACTCTCAGAACGCTTGCGTTTCTTTGCATTGGATTGCGCCTTGGTCTTCCCAAAATTTACCTTTTATACCTGATCCAAAATTTCATTTCTAGATAAAAGTGCAACAGGATTCCTAAAGTCCACATTGCCATCGAAAGGTTTTTTTTCGCCGCCAAGAATGGTCAATGGGTAAGAAGCGGCGATGACCTGTGTAACACAACTTTTTCGGTGTGGTAAATGTACGCAAGTTGTCTCAACCATGCAAATAGGACATGCTTGATACCCTTTCGTACTCCATCCGGACAGCATTGCATAAGCTGGAAAATCATTTATAGTCCATAGTAAAGCTGCCCGGAGGTCAAATTTCTTGCCACTATATGCATCATATGTTTCAACACCAAGCCACATTTCATTCAGTTCATCTATTAGAGGTTCCATGTAAACATCAATCTCATTTCCCGGGGATTTAGGCCCAAGAATTAGCATTGATAGGAAAAAGAAAGGATCTCTCATACACTTCCAAGGGGGCAGATTGTATGGCACTAGATAAATAGACCAGATGCTATAAGCACTACTCATGGTCCCAAAAGGATTGAAACCATCAGTTGCAAGACCTAACCTCACATTTCTAGGATCAACGGCGAAGTCCGGATGCAACCTATCAAAGTGTTTCCATGCTTCACTGTCTGTTGGATGCCGCATGATGTTATCATCATGCACACACTTTTCTTTATGCCATCTCATATCTGAAGCTATTTCTTTGTGGGTATATAATCGTTGCAGCCTAGGCTTCAAAGGAAAGTAACGCAAAACTTTGCATGGAACTCTTGAACCTGCCATCTTGTAGCGAGGTTCTTTACAATTTAGATTTGGACAAGTGTCAAAATTTTCATTTTCCTTGCGGAAGAGAACACAATCATTGACACAAGCATGGATTTTTTCAGATTTAAAACCTAAGTCTCGAATGAGCTTCTTAGCATCAGCAAAAGACTTGGGAACTGTGGCTTCAGGAGGTAGTGCATGCCTAAAAATTTCCAACAATGCATTGAAGGACTTTATAGTCCACCCGCTCATTGTTTTCAAATGGAGCAAAGTGACTACAAAGGATAGCTTTGAGTAAAAATGATTCTCTGGATACAGCTCCTTTTTTGCATCTTCTAACAATTTAAGAAAGTTATCTGTGTCACTATGATTTGCATTTAGACTATCATCCGTTGATTCTTCCCTACCAGCCCAATTGTCCCCCCATTGTGCTGTCCCAATGTCGTGCAACATGTCATTTAAATCTTCAGTATCACTATCCTCCTCTCCATCCCCATGTTAAGTACTATCCCCACAATTTTGGTGTCGAAATTGTTCCCCATGGTGTATCCATCTTGTGTAGCTTTTACGAATGCCTTGAGTCAATAAATGATCCTCCACAACTGTTTTAGTTTGGTTACAAAAATTATTGCATTGTGTACATGGGCATGGGATTTTCTGATTTTCAACTTTTTGAGAATATGCAAACTTGAGGAAATTTTTGACTCCGAGTTCATAAGCCTTGTCCTTCCTATTGCTAATCTTCATCCAAGTTTTATCCATGTCCTAGATATAGACACATCAGCCTTTAGTACAAAATACTTTTCTAATATCAAACTAAAGAGAATAATTTGTTAACTAGCCTTTTCAAAAATTAAGGCTACAAGTCATATGAAAAGCAGCCATAAAAGTAATATGAAAATTCATATGAAAAGCCATGAAATCAGTATCAT